TTATTAACTTGATAATATAAACTTGGCGCAGGATTTGCTAGCTCTCGTATGAATAATTATAGATGAGTGTTGTTATGTGTTCAATATTTCTAACGACCAAAGACACGTGATCAATTATTCGGTGGTTAACTTTATATAGATCTTTAATATCAGTATAATAGGGTATTTTTTTTTTTTCTCATTAAATAAAATATATAGTTATACTGTATAACAAAAATTCTTGAGTATTTTTTTTTTTTAGAATTAATAAAAAATAAATAATAAGAATCTAAAGAAAGTAAATTATAAATTGTATGAAATAATAATAAAAATTTTTAAATAAATAAATATAATTATAAAATATATAAGAAAAATTATTCTTATAACAGTATCTAGCAAAAAAAAAAAAAAAATTTTTTTAATTTATTATCTGTTTAATAAAAAAAAGATACATTATAGACATGTACAATAGAAAAGTTATGTAGTGTGTTGTAAAGATTCTTTTTGTTATAATAACAAAGAAATTTTAAGGTTTTTTTTTTTTTTGCTCAAGTATTGTTTTGCGTGAGTAAACGGGTGGAGGATGTGTGCTTGATGTACGCCACTGTAAATGCGTTTTCCTTTTATACGAAGGACCCTCGAGGGAACATCAAGCTTTTTGGTATTGTTTACACTTTTGAAAAGGCCAGACATAGTTAGCCACCAATCACACAAAGCGGTCATGATAGCCAATGAGACTATTAGCCATATTAGCCACAAATCTTGGTATAGTAAGATAACTCGAAGTTTGCATGCAACTTTCACTCGCTTACTAGTAGAGTTCATTCTTCCATATAATAATGCATAAGTTGCGTCGCTTAAGGAGACGTGTGACTCAAGTTGACATTCATAGCGAAGACGAAGATGAATCCGAAGTGACCCGGGAAGAACTTGATCTTAGTGATCTGTCTGGCTCCGAAGCAAGTTGTGAAGACTCGGATATTGAAAGCGAAAACTCCCATAGTGAAGGTGAAGAGGAAATTGCAAAGGAACAGTTGAATTCTTCGACCGAGGCTTTAAGTTCAACTAAGGGCACCAGCACTATTACAGCTGAAGAGACAAAATCTCTGCCCGAAGAAAAAGGTTCCTTGATCGAAGACACGACCACTAATGTTACAGAAAAAAAAGGAACTCCGATAGTTTCTAATTCATCTAAACTCCCTGACAAAGACGAACAGGATAAGATTTCTGATCCAACTAAAGAAGTTATACGTAACGAAAATAGTTCTACAGTCGAAAGTCATTCTGGGGCGGAAAACGAAAAGCATACAGAAGATCCTGATGCATCCAAGGAAACCCCCAAGGTTCTGATGGGTTGGCAAAAAAAATTATTGGCAAGGCAAGAATATCGCAAGAAGCTTGCCGAAGATCCGGCCTTCGTACCTCACCTAGGAGAGTTTTGGGGTCACGATGATCGTTTCACGAAAGATGAATTGAAAAATGATTTTGATCCACGTCCACGAAATATGCAATTTGGCCCGAAGTAGCTATTTTACATTTATTTGCTTTATTTTCGATTACGAAATCTCACCCAAAGGATTTTTTTTTACAGGGGCAGAGCAGTGTGGGGAAATTCTCCACCAAAAGGGCGTTGGGGTCACGATGGTTTCGAGGAACTAATGCGGCTCGACGAAGAAGAAAGGCGTCATAAAGAGTTTCAACGAAGAGTGCAACAACGTCGGAATTATGGTTACATGGTATCAATTGTTCACTTAAACTGCTATATTTTTTTAAATGCCGTATACCAATTAACCTCATTTTCACGCCCGAAGGCTGATCGTCGACGGTCACCTGTACGTAAAAATTCACAACCATCAAGGGTCGAACAGAATCGACCGTCAAATTTTTCATCCGGGAGAAAAAAATTTTATAAAGAACAATCTGTCGAATTTGGATCAAAAAAATCATTTGCTACGAGGTTTCAGGATAAAAATAATGGAGAGGAAGGAAAGCATACGCGTGACATTGGATCATCAACTCGGGAGAACAATACGAAAAATGAGGTCGAAGGAAATGATACATCACGCCAAAAATTACATAAAAACACAAGTGATGTTCGGAGCAGAGGTTACAGTAAAAATCCTTTGCGACCACACATGAATCGTGTTCACGCGAATTATAGTCATGGTCATGGTGCAGGCGATGGTGAAAAGAATCTGGACGATGCAAATCATCATAAAACTGTTGAAGTGAAAAGTGAACCCAAGCAAGATGATATCCAAGAAGCTGATGCAGTTAAGCAACATGTTATTGCTAAAAATGAAGATGCAGGAATTGGAGAGGCGGCATCAACAATCGTCATATCAGGTGAGGCAGATGTAAAAGATGTCGCATCAGAAAACGGTGTGAACTTGGGACTTTCAATAAATGAACATGAGGGAGTAACCGAGGATTCCGATGAAGAATCTGAAGTTGAGATAATTTTAGATCCTCCAAGTAGCAGTACAATTGGGAAACAAGAATCCTCAAATGAACCACCATCGGAGAAAAAATCCGCAGAACACCAGGAAAAAGAACGTTCTCAAACGACCACAGCTTCTAAACGATACTCAACGAGAAGGGTTGCCACAATCACAGTGCAAAATACTCAAACATCCGAAACAGAAAGAAACGACAGCACATCAAAAACTACTGTTACTACCGCTACCGAAAACACAGACACAACCACCGCCAAAAAAAGCGAGATTCCATTATCAGGTTTGTCTTAATGAGGTTTTTTTGTCATTTGTAAAAAAAAAAAAAAAAAGTGTCGACATTCAAAATATAGTTTAATCAGTTAATGGTGTAAAGAAGCAAGTTTATTAATGTCGATATGTACATAACATGAGATTCAATTATGATTATTAATGATATGTTGTGCTGTATATGTGCATAATATATACATATGAATGCCTATCCATACATAGCGGTTTACGCACCACCCTTCAAACCGAGATCTATGGCACACACAGAGGAAAATGTTATTGGGGAAGAAGCCAATGAAAGCGATCTTCCCCCCCTACAAACACAAGAAACGCCTATGGGATATTATGCCCAAGCTAGAGCACCGCCAATGTTTCCACCACCACCACCACCACCTATTCCATTTGCTGCGGAAAGTAATGGCATGGTCTATTACTTTGGCCCCAGCGTGTATTATAGTTATGGGAATGAAAATATTCCTAAAGCAACTTTTGTACCACCACCACCGCCTCCACCTCCACCACCACCACCGCCACCACCCGCACCAGATCATAATGGTGTTTATTATTACCCAGCATATTATCAATAACAATATATATACATTATTGCAAGATTGTATGTGGTTTGTATTTCTACGTGAAAACCGTTTACTCAGTTTTTTTTTTTTGATCATCGATGGTTCTATATTTTAACTTGTACTCGATAGTAAGATTACACAAGAAAATTCTATTATTAAGATTAGCAACACAAACTATAATTTTCTCAACGGCTAAACGTAAAGGAATTCATGTATTATAGACATTGTCAGTTTTAAAATACATAATGATATAAAGATATAAATTAAGTGAGAATTCCTGGCATAATTACCTGAATTAAGTCAAAATATCACGCATCAAATCTGATCAAGTTCATCGAATTTTATAGAATGAGACACCAAGTCTATCTTGCCACCACGATATGAACCCCTTTTCTTCTTTGTTTTTTGGGCTCGAAAATCTTTGCCCCTAACCCCAGTAAAATCCTTTTGAGCCTTTTGACCATATGATCCGATCGTACTTTTCTAAGAAGCGACATAGGTAAGAGGCATAATATATGAAAAACTTTATTGATTAAATGTATTAAAATAATTATTTTTACCAAAAAACCATTAGGTTTGTTTCCATTGTGTCCATTGGTGGAATCTCTGGTGAACTAAGGAAAAGACAATTAATTGTATTTAATTATCAAAATCGAATAGTCACAAGTCGATACAATGTCACCTACTTTATTTGTATTTTTACTATTTCGAGTAAAAAATTCGCTAGAAGATTTATGAATAGATAATAACAACAATATTACAAAATATTGGATGATATCAAAATCCCATTTTACACGTGTACTATTAAATAAACAACAACAGTACCTTTTTTGACTATTATTCAATTTCTTGGGGGAAAAGGTGTATTCGTGTTCTTGCTCCATGCTTTTTAAGTGGTCATCCAAGTCATCATTTCTACGTTTGAGATTATTCCCGTTTGTTCGATTATTCTCCGAAATTTCTTGCACCCCAGAATTCTCATTGTTTTCAATTTTCTCTCCATTCTCGATGACCGAGGAACTTTTTTGCACAATTTCTTCACTTAACTTTTCATCCTCAGATTCACTGCCTGAGTCATCATTATCATCATTATCATCATCCTCGTCATGCGACGAATGATGAAAATCGTGATCTCCATTATTCTGTTTTTCGTGATCTTTTGTAGATGAGCTGGTATCATCTGATGAATCCTGGTCACTTTCGTCATTACTTGACGTATTGTCATCGGACGTTGTGTCATTATTCCTTAGTTTGGAAGTATCGTTTTGTACGGTGCGTTGTGATAATGTTTCATCGTTGGAAATCGATTCACTGGAAGATTCGTCATTCTCACTTTCACTGGATTCACTCGACTCACTGGATTCACTCGACTCACTTGATTCACTCGACTCACTCGATTCACTCGATTCGCTCGATGAATCCAAAGACGATTCGGTATCATGACTAACGTGAAAGACATATTAAGACCGTATTGACATAGTAAATAATTGATACTTGCGAAATCTGCTCACCTGAATGAATCAGGGGAACTTTCTTCGGAACTTGTGTCGTCCTTTCCGTTAACGTCACGTCTAATCGATAAAACAACCAGTATTTATTTAACAATAATAATCACGAGCGAATAGGGTCATAGAGGAACCAACCGTGTCTTTTCACTCTTAAAGTCATTGAAAATCTTTATGAGATCGTAATTTAAATCCGCGATTTCATGAAACGGCTAATAAGATTATTCATTAATACGCGAATATACATTGATTTTTCGAATATCAAGATTTTTCGCTATAGGAGAGGTGAAGCTCAAACCTTTTTACACTCATTTTTAAATGCTGCAGCCGTTCTAGGGTGATCCGTGTCTTTCAAGAAGTGATAAACTAATGAGTAAAGTTCTTCAGGAACGACGGTATCAGGCATTTTGGAAGGACGCCAAAAAATTTTTAATTTTAATTTTTTTTTTTTTTTATAATCGGTCGCGACACGTGACTATCAAAATGTAACGCGATCTTAATGTCGACATGAGAGCTTATTATAATTTCATCAATTTCAATGGGAGCTCCGGCCAAAGAGACGTCAACGGAGAACACGACATCCGAGAGCTCTACCACAAAAAATAGCGCAAACACCGAGGCTGGCTTGGCAAAAAGCAAGAGATATCGCATAGCTCTCGGAGACGTCACTCCAAATAACTTGGGTCAACTTAAACGTCTCAATTCAGTCCTCTTTCCTGTCAACTATAGTGAAAGGTTTTACAAAGACGTGTTGGAAGT